GCCAACAACATTGGTTGTCCTTCTGTGTGTTGAAGGGTTTTTTGGCATTTGCGTCTATTCGGCCTTCCAAAGACCTCAAGACGGCCCAAGAGGCCCCCAAGATCGCCCCAAAATCGCTCACGAGGCCTCCAAGATGGCCCCATGACGGCCCAAGAAGCCTCCAAGAAGGCCCCAAGAGGGCCCCAAGACGGCCCAAGAGGCCTCCAAGACGCCCAAGATGGCCTCCAAGATGGACCCGAAGCGCCCAAGAGGGCCCCAAGTCGGTTCAGAGAGGCCCCCACGACGTCTCCCGACGGCGTCAGACGGGCCAGGAAAGCTATTAAGACGGCCAAAGAAGCTCCCGAGAAGCCCCAAGAGGCCCTCAAGAGGCCCCAAGAGAGCCTAAGATAGCCCCAACATGGTCTCCAAGACGGTCCCAAGATGGCCCAATCGAGCCCAAGAGTGCCTCAAGAGGCTCCGAAGAGGCATCCTCCCCGTTCTCCTTTTTCCTCCTTCTCCTCCTCATCCCCTTCCTCCCCCCAGCTCCCCAAAACCTTTCCAAACCGACTCGGGGAACACATGGTCCGATAGCTTGGCCAAGCTCTAGCCCAGCTGTCGGACACATAGGCGCTTCCACAAGGGCAGGGGGCGGCGGTGATTCGCCGTAGGCGACTTCGATAATTCATCTGGCTTAATTGCGTATCCCGTATCACGCTTGGTCGTATCATTGCGTGCGGTCCTCGCTTGTTCGTTTGAACCATCGGGCCATCTGGGAGCCTCGTGGAGTGATGTTGAAACTGCCTTGGAGCCTCTGAGGGCCATCTAAGGACGACTCCTCCCCCCAGAAGAATGCCCGTATAAAATGTTCTGCCATCGGGGGCGCCTGTTCCGGGGCGGCCAGGAAGTTCACCTAGCCAAGGTGGAGGGTGGGGATATAAAAAACACCTACCCTATGACGGTTGCCCAAAGAGGAGTCACACAACGGGCCAGGAACGCTGCCCAGATGGCCCAAAATGACCCAACAGTCTCGAAGAAAACCACATGAGGCGCCTGAGAAGGCCTCAGAGGCTTCCGGGATGCCCTCCAAGCGACCACGAGTGGCCCAAACCAATAGTTGTCCTTGTCCGTTGCTTCCTACATGTCGCCCCTCCTCGTCCCAAGAGGCCGCAAGAGGCGCCAAGATGTCCCTTAGACTTCGCCAAAGCGGCACTCCCGAGGCCCCAAACGAACCCAAGACGGCTCCCAAACCGTCCAATATCACCCAGAAACGGCTTCAAGACAGCACAAGACCAGCCCACGGCGGCCCCCAGATGCTCTCTCGACGCCAGGGAAATCCTCCAAAACTGCACCACGCCTTCCCAGCCTGCCACAAGATCTTCCAAGACGGCATCAAGACGCCATCAAAAACTCCCACGAGGTCCAAGGAAGCCCCCGAGGAGGAACCCAGCAAGCTCCCGGGAGGCCCGAATCCCCGATGCCACATCAAGTCACTGCTTCCTGGGCAAATGGCGGGCCACAGGGAAGGAAGGCACCTTACCGCACGTCACGGCCCCCTCTCCACGGGGGAACCGAGCTGAGTCATGTGACGGCTCCGACGACCAGAGTGAGAGAGGTCTCACATGTTGTGGCTGTCGGGGCCCTCTGAAGGCACCCATGACACTATCAGGGCCTGCTTGAGCCTGCGGAAGAGCTTGACACAGGTGACTGCACTCGGGCACACAGGGACGAGATGCACCACGGTTTCAGGGCCACCACGCAGAACGCTGCGCTGCCACGGTGGTGGAACCTGCCGCAGGCGCCTCGGTACCCCTTGTTGGGGAAACCCAAAAAGAAATACCGATACCGCTACTCCCGGGACCTCTCCCCCCGGGTGCGTTCTGGCCAGAATCTCGAGGCGAACCCAGCGGTGGCAACGAGGGCCTCCGAGGCCCACAATGACGAAAACGAGGAAAGGGTACAGTAGAGGCTCGACCACAAAACAACTTCCACAAGAAACCCACCCCTGAGACCCCAGGACGTCCATTGATATTTGGTGTGGGAACGTCATGCTGACCAAAGCAAAACCATCGAAACCCAAGAAACCCAGCGCACCCTGGAAGCAAGCAGGGTGTTTCTCAGAATGGGTCTCCACTGTACCGGTATGGGTACTTCTTCCTCCTCCGACTTGCCGTCTTCGCAGTCAGCGTCTCGATCGCCACCACCATCCTCGTTTTAGACGCCCGAAATGGGTACGGAAAAAATGGGCACAATGCCCAGCAACAAATGTTGCCCAAAACCGACAGCGGCCGCTGTTGGGCAGGCGGCTTTTGTCTTCAGAGAACAACACGCGCGGCGGCCCGAACAGCGAGTCCTGTTCAAAATGAACAGGAACTGGGCACTGCACCCGTTCTTTCCGTACCGAGTTCGATCGTCACGACTCGCTTGAGCCCCGTCGGTCGCGCCGTCGCCCCCATTCGCTTACAGCTGCCGTCTCTCTGCCGCGGAGGCCACAAAGACCTCCCCAGGTCCACCGAGAGGACGCCACTGCGCTCGTAAGAGTGGCGTCGGGGAAAGCATCTGGTCGGCCTTCCTGGGACTTGAGGTAAGGTCGGCGGCGAACCCGGGGGGGTAGCGGGAGGGGGCGGGCCTTCTCAGAAGTTTCGGAAGTCCCCTGGCCTTCTGGGAAGTTCTGTGAGCCGTCCCCCAAGACACCAAAAGCATCTCCAAGGCGCGAGGGGCTTCTGAGCATTCCCGCCGCCTTCTGAGAAGGCCTTCTCCTCCTCGTTTCTCCCCTCGCTCGCCGCCGAGATCGGGGGGGACCGGCAGAGGGGAGGAAACGTCGACCTGGAATGGCGATGCATCGCCGATGGATCGGCCACAGGTCCCCGACAGTGAATCAGCTCGTTCGTGGGCGGGGTGGAGCCATCGGGCCCCCATCGACGATCAAAATAGGCGATAGGGGGGCCGATGCATCCCCCCCCCCATGCCTGTGCCTGTGCCCCCGCATCGCTGCCCCGAGGACTTCCACTCCGCGGGCCTCCTCGGAACCCCCCCGAGCGATCCTGGAGACACCCACAAGCTCTCCATGACCGCGATGAGTGGCATCAGGGCCAGGGCTGGAGCAGGGGACACTGGGGTCGACGGGTCCGGACACTCTTGCGCCCAGCGGCGGCCCTGGCGAGAGGGGGCCACGTGCGAGCCCAACCCCTGTACCCCCCACGATCTCCGAGGGGGGGCGGGGGGGTTCTCTTCGCTCGGGAGCTCCCGAGCGAAGCGAACCCCACCCTCCCCCTCAGAAATCGTGGGGGGCGGGGGTAGGGCTCGCATGTGGCCCCCTGGGCGACACGCTGTGCCCTCCAAGCCGATGGCATGTCGCTCCGCTCCGCGGGACGGGACGCTCGACCAGGACGTGGCTAGCGAGTCGCGCCGAAGCGCGGTGGGCCAGAACTGGCGGCGAAACATGCTGAGCCAGAGCTCCCGATTCCCGGACGTAGGGTCAGGTCGGGCACGCCCCCCTACAGAGGGATTTTGAAACCAAATTCCCAAATACGGACAACAAATATTCCAAAATGATCCAAAAATGCTCAAAAAATCGTCCCCGTACTATCTATTAACCATTTTTGAATAGTCCCCCTGTAGAGGGACAGGCCCGACTCAATCGTAGGATTACATGCAGGGTCGGACTCTCAGATGCGGCCGAGAGGGGGGCGTCCAAGAGGAAAGTGCGCAGATCATGGCCGGCGGCATGTGAGCGGCCCAAGGGGGGGCTCATCGTCACATCATCATCATCATCATCATCATCATCATCATCATCATCATCATCATCATCATCATCATCATCATCATCATCATCATCATCATCATCATCATCATCATCATACTCATCATCATCATCATACTCATCATCATCCGCATCCTCATCCTCATCATCACCACCACTATCACCACCACCACCATCATCATCATCAGCAGCAGCAGTATCAGCATCAGCATCAGCATCAGCATCAACATCGGCAGCACCACCACCACCATCATCAGCATCAGCATCAGCATCAGCATCAGCATCAGCAGCATCATCATCAGCATCATCATCCTCATCGTCATCATCATCATCATCATCATCATCATCATCATCACCAGCACCATCACCATCACCATCACCATCACCATCATCAGCATCATCATCATCATCATCGTCATCGTCATCGTCATCATCATCATCAGAATCACCATCACCATCATAATCATCATCATCATCAGCAGCAGCATCATCATCGTCGTCGTCACCATCGTCGTCGTCATCATCACCCGCCACCACTACCATCAAAATTATCATCATCAGCAGCAACAGCAGAATAATCATCATCAGCAGCAGCATCATCATCAGCATCATCATCATTAAGAGCATCATCGTCATCATCATAATCACCATCACCATCATCATCATCATTTTCATCATCATCATCATCAGAATCAGAATCGTCATCACCATCATCAGCATCATCGTCATCATCCTCATCCTCAGCCCCAGCCCCATCATCCTCCTCATCCTCATCCTCATCCTCATCATCCTCATCCTCCTCCCAATCATCATCCTCATCATCATCACCACTATCACCACCACCACCATCATCACCACCATCATCACCATCATCATCATCAGCATCATCAATATCATCATCATCAGCAGCAGCAGCAGCATCATCATCATCATCTTCATCCTCCATCCTCTTCGGGAGGTCTCCAGCGGCCTCCCGAGCACTGGAGGTCGGAAGAGAGCTCTGCAGGCCTCCGAAGCCCCCAGAAGCCCAAAAAGGACCGACGGCATTGAGAAGCGTTGATCCTCCTCCTCCTCCTCCTCCCTCCTCCTCCTCCTCCTCCTCCTCCTCCTCCTCCTCCTCCTCCTCCTCCTCCTCCCTCTCCCTTCCCTCCCTCCTTCCTCCCTCCTCCCTCTCTCCTCCTCCCCCTCCTCCCTCCTCCTCATCCTTCTCCTCCTCCCAAACACCGCCGCTCGCCCGCGCGCGCGAGGCGGGGCTGCGGGCCCCCGCTCCGCCGACAACGGCACCTTGCGGCGGCGGGGAGCGCTCGCGGCGGCGGCGTCGGGCGACGGCCGACGTCGGCGACGGCCAGCGTCGGCGGCGGCCGCCGTCTTCGATGGCCGCGACGGCCGCAGTCGGCCTTGACTGGACAGGACGCGCGAGCGGATACAAGGGAGACGAGAAAAACGAGGACGGGGAGGGAGAACAGGAAGAGCAAGAGGAAAGGCCACATGTGGTCCAAATGGAGGAGAGGCTGGTCTCAACGTCGCCGCCCAAGGCTCCCATGAACAGACATCGAACCTCTCCCCCCTCCCTCCTCGCGTTCGCCGCGAGGCCCGCACATCAGCAGGAGGGAGGTGACATGAGTACAGTCGGCCTTGATCGGACGGGGCGCGCGAGAGGACACAAGACCGTTCCGAGGGCCACATTGCCATAGGAATGTAGGAGGCATGGGTCGCGAAACACAGGACACAAGGGCACCCTTGAGATGGCAGGGTCGACCTACTGATCAGGGCCGACTGTAGTTGGGAGGTGAGGGTGAGGAAAATCCACTCGAATCGCCTCCGGCAGGCTCGACTGCTCTTCTGCCTCGCCTGTGAGGCCCAGGCCCCACTGCATCCCACGGTTGCAGCTTGACAGCAATCGGCCTGCTCGAAGCGGATCCTCCCCCCACCGGGGGAACCAGCAGATGCCAATGCCTCTCGACATGGGGAGTTCGGAGCAGAGTCTCGAGGCGGATCCAGCCATGGCGACGAGAACCTCCCAGGAAGCCCAAAGGGGAGGAATCGTGGAATCGTGGACGCACTGCCCCAGGTCAGGACAAAGACCTGGGTCCTGCGCGCTGACCCGGGTAGGATCCTGCAAGATCCGGCGCTCTGGCTGACCCGCGTTTGCACTGACCCCTCGTCGTCACTTGACCCCCGACGAGAGCGAGGCAAGGGCAGCGGAATCGGTACCCGTCGATCGGAAGTAGGAAGGCGTTGGGAGTAGATTGGGCCTCCGCCCGCCCCCTGAAGAGGAAGGAAGAGGGCAAACCGATCGACCCTGAAAGTAGGAAGGCGCCAAAGCAAATTGGGATCTGGGGATCCAAAATACCTACGTTCGACGACCGGCGTGAACGTCTGCCGCCTCTGACCCCCCCCCCATGGCGTCCGCTGGAGGGTCCGCGCAGACGGGGACCGCGGTGCCGGGAAGGACCGAGCGGGACCGCGCGCCTCGAGCTGAGCAGGCCTGGAGGCTGGTCTCACCAAGAAGCCAGCGAGTACCCGTCGGTCAGAGGAAGTGAGCGACGATCAAAGAAGGGTCTTACGCGAGATGGCATAGCGACCTTACGCGGTGACTTGCGCGGGCCGCCAGCGCGGCACGCTCTATTGGAGACGAGGGCGCTCACGCGCGAGCTTACGCGGGCAGCTAACGCACCAATGTCGGCGAAGACGGCCTTCTTTTTTGTTGCGTCGCGCAAGTGAGTAGAAGCACGATGTGGGAAGGCGTTGAAAACAGATGGGGCATCCGCCCGCCCCCCGAGGAGGAGGGAAGTGGGACAGCCGCTCGACCCTTGAGGCAGGAAGGCGCCTCGAAGATGTGGGATCTGGGCATCCGAAATTACAGTTAAGTCGGGCCTGTCCCCCTACAGGGGGATTTTGGACGAAACATAAAAAATACTCAAAGAATACTCAAAACATGCCCCAAAATCCGCCGGCCCCCTTGTGGGGCCACCAGGCTGCGAGGCACGGGTTCGCAGTTTCCAGTACCAGTTGTAGCTTGTAGTTTCCAGTGTTCCAGTTCTGCTTCTTGCTGGTTACTGTAACGAGTTGATTGACCGCGCGAGGGGGGGGAGGCCCAAACGGGATTTTTAGCACCCCCTGGGCGCGTTGTCTGAATTGCTGGGGGGGCTCGAAATCGACACCCCTCACGCAGATCCGCGGGGTCAGGGTCCAAAAACACTTAGGATTTGCCACATTTCTGAAATTCGGTCCCACCCCTCACGCAGATCCGCGGGGTCAGGGTCCAAAAACACAAGGGATTTGCCACATTTCTGAAATTCGGTGCCACCCCTCACGCAGATCCGCGGGGTCAGGGTCCAAAAACACAGGATTTGCCACATTTCTGAAATTCGATGCCACCCCTCACGCAGATCCGCGGGGTCAGGGTCCAAAAACACACGGGATTTGCCACATTTCTGAAATTCGGTGCCACCCCTCACGCAGATCCGCGGGGTCAGGGTCCAAAAACACAGGGGATTTGCCACATTTCTGAAATTCGGTGCCACCCCTCACGCAGATCCGCGGGGTCAGGGTCCAAAAACACATGGGATTTGCCACATTTCTGAAATTCGGTGCCACCCCTCACGCAGATCCGCGGGGTCAGGGTCCAAAAACACAGGGGATTTGCCACATTTCTGAAATTCGGTGCCACCCCTCACGCACATCCATCGCAAGGCGTGGTAACCCAAACTGCGAGTACTCCCTCGGCCCTTTAATCCCAAGGTGTGGTAACCAAGCTCGTAAACCATACACGTCTTACCAATCGCCCTGTGTGGTAACCCCTCTTGTGATCAGTTGGTTTTGCCGATTGCGAATCGGCCTCGCATGAAGTTCCGATACTGCTGCACGACAGCGCCAAAGCCTCATGACTTAGCTCTTCCATGGCCCATTCTCCGAGAGAGGGGGCCGGCGGCAGGGGGCGAAGCCCTTACGGATATTCAAAAAATAGTCACCAGACTATTGTTTGACTATTTTTGAATATTCCCCCTGTAGAGGGACAGGCCCGACTTAAAATTACAGACTTTCCACGACGGGCGCGTAAACTCCGAGACCGCAAGCTTATACCCCCGCCCGCCACAGCTGGGGCGCATCAACTCTCCAGCCGCCCCGGGACGGGCGACCCGACGGCGGCAGCGTTGCCCGGGCAGCGCCTGCACTTCGGGGGTCCTCACTTCCGTTCTGAGGCGACCGAGCTCAGCTCGACCCTCTCTCGCACCAGTTGCTGGCTTGGGCGGCGGGGGGCGCGCGCGGCGCGGCCCTGCTGCGCCTCAGAGAATAGTGGGGCCGGGCACCGCCCAGGCAGGCCGCGGCGGCCGAGCCACCCTGCTGACGGCCCCCCGAGGCCCGGCGAGGGCCCCCGGCGGCCGAAGGCCGTCGAAGGCCACCCGCTCCAGTCTTTGCCGGAGCGTCGGACCTCTGGGCCGCACCACTTGCTTGCCCGTGCAGCGGGGAACCTCCGAAAAAGGAGGGGGCCGGGCACCGCCGAGGAAGGCCGCGGCGGCCATGGCCGGGTCGGCCTCGCAGCGGGGGGGGGGGCGTCTTGGGCAGAGGGCAGAAGAGCCCAGGATCCTCCTCCTCGTGCTCCTCCTCCTCCCCCTCCTCCTCCTCCTCCTCCTCCAAACTCCTCCTCCTCCTCCTCCTCCTCCTCCTCCTCCTCCTCCTCAACCTCCTCCTCCTCCTCCTCCTCCTCCTCCTTCTCCCCCTCCTCGTCCAACAGGTCTCGGCTTTGGCGGAGCGCTTGAAAGCATCGGAGCAGCCAGCCTCAGCCAGCATGGTCCGCCTCGTTGCTTGTGGAGACTATTGGGCCGATCCCAGGAGATTCGAGGCAGGTTGCCGTACTGACGATCTGTACCAGCAATGCTAGAGATCCCCAGACACCAGTGTGCACAGTTGCTGGAGGTGCCCAGCTAATCATTTTTCTCCCGAGTGGGCGTTGTCTGTGGGCGTTGAGCCCCCCAGCGCCCCTGTGGTCGAGGCAAGCCACTTGGCACACCAGATTTGAGGAGTGTGAGCAGGCCCCCATATTTGGGCTGCGTGGTCTAATTCCCCTCTCTTGGCTTGAGCTTCTTACCCCTCCTGAGTCCCGTGAGCTCGAATGGCTTCGCGTTGAGGAGTGGCCCTTGCCAGGAGGAGTCTATGCTACTGATGGCTCGGGAGGCCGCCACCACAAGCAGCCTATGTTGCGGCGTGTTGCCTTGGGGTTTTATCCGCTTTGACTCCGCTACCCAGCTAGCTTGGGACTCGGGGTGCACGGGGCTGGTGGACAGCCCGAAGCAAACGGTTCCGCGCACCGAGTTGTTGGCTCTGGTTGAAGCGCTTAGGGCTGTCCGTCAAGATGCTGACCTCGCATTTCTCTCGGACCTTGCGAGCCATGCGAGGGCACAGGTTCGGGGGAGACACCACTGCGTGAGGCTCGAGAATGCCGACCTGTGGTATGAGTTGTGGTCTCTCGCTGATGCGAAGTCTGCCCAGCTCGTCCTCATCCATGTCCCTCCCATCTTGCCGAGGATGAGACTAAGCTAATAGCCAACGAAGGATCCCGTCCGAACGCTCAAACCTGCCAAGGTCCCGAGGCTCCAGAGGAGGACGGCCCTTTTGCAGCGTGAACTGGATGTTTCCTCCCATCCCTGAAGACCCTTCCCAGGGGGTGGAGTTGCAGGCTGTGTGGCAGGATCGTTCCGAAGTCCCACAGTCGATGTCTCTCCCGACTGCAAGTCCAGCTGTGCTGCCCGCAGTGTCCTTGCGTCCCTGCCCGCGGCCTCCGCTCGTGCGTGCGTCCGTCTCCGTCCGAGGTTTGCTTCTGTAACTCCTTTCGACGAGCAGCTCCTCCGCGTGCTGCAAGTCACCCGACCACCCAGCCCGGTCCGTGGGGCAAGCTTGGCGCGGCCACATCCTGCACCAGAGCCACGCTCTCCGGAAAAAAAGGGAGCTCCTGTTTTTTCCGGAGCGAGTGCGGCAGGGACGCCGAGGGCCCCCGGGGCTCCTGGCGCGGGAGCGCGATGCGATCGCACACGGCCGCATCTCTCACTTTCGCGCTCTCTCTCTCTCTCTCACTCTCTCTCTCTCTCCCTCTCTCTCTCTCTCCCTCTCCCTCTCTCTCTCTCTCTCTCTCCATCTCTCCCTCTCTATCTCTCTCTCTCTCTCTCCTTCTCTCTCTCCTTCTCTCTCTCTCTCTCGTTCTCTCTCTCTCTCTCTCTCTCTCACGAAGGCCCAGCATGCTGCTTCAAGGCGAGTCCGGAAGCGTCTGCCACCACGAGCCGGAGCTAGCGAGTTGGAGGCCCCTGGCCAGAGTTTCTCTCTCACTTGTAAAAAAAAACGTTCGAGCCGCCGCCTGCGGTCCCCTTCCCTGTCTGTAAATCCTGGGCTGTCCTCGGAGGTTTGCAGGCAGCTGTGCCTAGCAAACTCGTCGACCACGTCCTCCTCCTCCGCCTCCTCCTCCTCCTCCTCCTCCTCCTCCTCCTCTTCGTCCTCGCCCTCGTCCTCGCCCTCGTCGTTGTCCTCCTCCTCCTCCATCCGTGTTTTTTATGGATAACTCCTCCCGCCTCCCTGTCGCACCACGAGACCAGTCGGAAGGGCGGGCCGGGCGCTTCGCCTGAGACTTCCTCACCATGTATAATCCTTGAGCTGAAAATTGGCAACAGATTCACGGATGGAAGCGGGTCGCTTTCGAACTGTGGCTTTCATCTTTGCGCCGCGCACATCCATCTTAAAAAACTGCCAAAGATTTACGGATGGAGGACAGCTGGTCTTCAAAATGTGGCTCCCGCCGCAGCGCCGCGCGCACTCGCTTGACAGATTTGCAAGAGCTTCACGGCTGGGGGGCGGGTCGTTTTCAAGATGTGGCGCTCGCCCTGGCGCGAGCGCACATTCGTCATACAAAAATGCAAGAGCTCTACGGATGGAGGGCGGCTGCCCTTCAAAATGCGGCTCTCACCGCAGCGCCGCGCACGCTCGTCGTCAAGAGCTGCACGAGCTTCACGGGTGGATGGCGCTTCCTTTCGACATGTGGCTCTCGCCTTCGTGCCGCACACATTCGCCTCGAGAGTTGACATCAATTTGAAGGCTTACCATGATGAACGTCCCAGAAATGATGTTGTGACACGACGTCGGACTGTCAGGGCGCGTCCCAGAACGATGTCGTGGCACGCGGCGCTGAAAACCCAGGATGGCATTCTGAAACAACTCAGGATGTTCAAACGGTTGTTCACTTGGCTTACATGCTTCAGTGAGAATGAATCCTTGCAGGGGGCCTGTGGAGAGGGATCTTGGAGGGAGGGTATACTGCAACATCGTCGCTCAGTCTTGTGTTTGCACTGATCCTCCTCCTCGCACACACACACACACACACACCCACAGCAAGAATCCGAAACACCGAACTGGAGCTACTGCTGCTACTGCAACTGTGCTGTGCACCGCTCAAGGTGCAACGGAAGGGGGAGAGAGAGAGAGAAAGAGAGAGAGAGAGAGAAAACAAAAAAAACAGGAAGAAAAAAAAGGAAAAGACAGAGCAGAGAGAGACAGAGCCTCCCCCAGCTCCTGCACCGTGCCACCGTCACCACTCAGGTGAAGAAGGCCAGGAGGGGGGAGGAGGAGAGGCCCTTACTGCACCCACCAGCTGCAGCCACCGATCCTCACATCCCACAAGATCTTCCCAAGGCCTCTCCTTAAAAGGCTACTGCAACTCGACCCATCCAGCGCCCTAAACTGGAATCCTCCTCCTCCTCCTCCTCCTCCTCCTCCTCCTCCTCCTCCATCCTGCCCCCCCCTCTCCCCTCCGGCAGCGGCCCTGGAGCTCCCCTCAAGCGCGCGCTGGCCGGGGTTGGGAGGCGGACCCGGCCGTGGCCGCAGGGCAGCGGGGCCCAGGCGCGAGTCGATAGCAGGCGGGTCGGCGATCGAAACGAATCCGATCGGCGGACGTCGGCGGCCAAGTCGGGAGAGGACGGCTCGGCGGAAAGCGGCAGGCCAGTCAGGCCTCCAAACACGAGGTCGAGGTCCTGATCGGAACCCGGTAGCCGAATCGAAGCGAGGCGGGAGTCGATCGAACTTGGATCGAACCGAGCCAGGGGAGCCGAAACGAGCCCTGCAGAAGGACACACTTAGTACTATGTGCTGATGTTTGAGGCGCGCTTCTGACACGAACATGCAGTGCACAAGTTCGGCGGTGGACAAACCTCCCTTTACTTAACCTCCCTCTAGTGAAAACGGCCTGGGACCGAAACCGACGGACCTGGACCCGCAAAAATGACGGCCGCGACGCCCTCTCGCGAACCGAAAACGGCCAATTCGCTAATCGACGTGTCAGGGTAGGAGGTCCATCAGCCTCCGACAAGTCTGCCAGCGACGACGACGACGACGACGACGACGACGACGACGACGACAACATCTGCTCCGACGACAAGAACAAAGGCGTCGACAAGAGAACAGGGCGCGCTGGCGGAGGCCTCGCAGCGGGCGTCCTGGCCTGTCGGCCCGCGGGCGGGCGGGCGGCGGCGGACCGCGGGAGTGCCGAGCAGCTCGCGGTCGCCGCCGCTGCCGCCGTCGCCGTCGACGGCGTCGGCGTCGCCGTCGGCATCGCCCGTCGCCATCGGTGTCGCCGTTGCAGCGGGCGTCAGCGTCGGCGTCGGCCTCGGCTTCGGCGCCGCGGTCGTCAGGAGGGAGGAGGGTGAAGGGGAGAAGGGAGGAGACAGGGGAGAAGGGCGGGGGAGGAAGGAGAAGGAGAAGGAGAAGGAAGAGGAGGAAG